TAGCTAGGGTTAACAAGCTACTGATCTCACAGGTCATGTCCTTGTCATCCTGAGCACCCCAGTCAGCCGCTGAGTGGTGGCTGGAGACAGCCCTGGGCTGCGTGGTGAGGTGGCAGCCTCCACTGCTTGTGGGCGTCCTGGTGGAACCTTCTCTGAGCCACCTGAGCTTGCTGAAGCAGCAGGGAGCTCGCCCAGCAGGATGAGTTGAATAGGCTTGCTGTCACAGCCAATGCAAAGTGACAGTAGGGGAGACTGTGCAGCTGAGAAGTGGTGTTGGGATGGGGTGAAGCAACCGAGATGGAGGACTGGGAACTGAGAGCATCTTCCTGCCCCCTTCAGGAAGCAAACTGTAAATAAATAGCCTGTGGAACTGTAGCATTCTCTTTGTAATTCTCTGCCAGTTTATTGCTCTGAATTGTCTCAACAAGGGCTCAGATGAGAGCCAGAGGAAATGCAGGGAGTGTGTAGCTGGAAGAAGGGCCACCTACTTCAGCACAGAGCTGCCAGATCTGCTCAGTCTCAGGTCATCATTGCATGATGGATTCAGGTCAGCGCAAGGAGATGTTTTTGCCAAAAGGAGTTTTCTCCAGACGCCTGTTCCTGCCCTTTTGCTGCTCCATCCCATGTGTCAGCACAAGTTGTGAAGTGGTTGAGGTTAAAGCTATTATGGCAAAGAAGTCTTCACTGACCGGCTCTGATTTGGTTGACAATGCGGATGTTTACGCTAGCAACAGTGCAGACTGGAGCAAGTTGCTGGGTTTGGAGAGAGTGCAGAATCACTCTTAAGGGGCAGTGCCAGTTTAAGGTGTTTACAAAAGCCACAGAGTTGGAACATTTTTGTTTATATAAAACTTAAAAATATACTTTCTCATCCCTGTAGCTCCCTCTTATGAGTAGTTTGAAATTGGACTCAAATCTACATGGGTTTTGTCCAAGATTTTAAATTCTTATTGCTATTTTTTTAAAATCTTTTTTTAGGCATATGAAGAATTATTTTGGAGCTGTCATATCAAATACCTGCGACAGGTCAGGAGGGACAACTATTGTGTACTAAGAGCAGTGCTTTTTCAGATATTCAGCCAAGGCATTCCCTTTCCATCGTGGATGAAGGAGAGAGATATATTGAAGGTAAAATTAATTTCCTAAATGAACATGATTAAGGTAACCTTGCACTGCAGAAGGAATCTTTGTTCAATGTGAAGACTGGTGTGTCTGCTATGGAAGTAGAGTAGAATCATTATCAGAATTTAAAGGGAAGTTTTTAAAACTCCTTGAACTACACTTGATTGAAAAAGTGGCCCCGATCTAAACATACCAATATGAACATCAGTCTAAATTGTAATAAATAATGTGGATGGGTAAATGGTGCTGGCACCCTGCTAGATGTCACTCCCTTGACACAAAAGCGTATTTGCATCCTCCTCGTCCACACCTGTGCAAAGTCCAGTGGCTCACGTAAG